AGAAGAAAATCGGATTCAGAAAAAAAATTATAAACGAGAAAATGCGATAAAGTCTCTCATTTCCTGAGAGTATAGTAATTTCTAATTTTGTCGTCTTTTGGTGATACAAGAGACAGCACTTTTAATTAGTCGAGTTAAGACAGAAACCAAACACGCAATTTGGCATGGAGCGATGCGGCGCAGAGAGCAATATTAGCTCCTACGAGACTGCATGAATACTTCACGCATTGCGTCAAACACAGGGCGATCAGCAGCGGCCGATGTGAAACGCATAGCGCCTACAAGGTTGCATGAATACTCCACGCATTACGTCAATAACAGTGCGGTCAGCGTGAAACGCATGGCGCCTACTAGACTTCATGAATACTTCCCGAATTACGTCAAAAACAGTGCGGTCAGCGTGAGACGCATGGCGCCTACTAGACTTCATAAATACTTCACGCATTTCGTCAAACGCAGTAAGATCAACGCGGCGCCGGCGGAAGTTAAAACTATTAAATCACATTTATGTTTGTTCTTGCATAATTTTTACGTTACTTTAGTACAAATGGATAAGGCCTTGTTCACACAGAGATAGGTTTAAGGAACTTAACTTTCGCGCAAAGTTCTGTTAACTTTTGCTAGGAGTGTTAACAGGGCTTTCGCAAAAAATATATGTCCAACACGAGTAAACGAGTCTTATGCACCCCTCCCCTCCGGAACGTTCAATTGATGGTTTTTATTGATGTTTCAAAACGAATGAGGAGGGGGCGGCAAAATGCAGGCGGCCCATGGGCGGCAAGTAGGTAAATCCGGCCCTGTCCCGCACTGGAGAAAAAAGCCTCTTGGATCCAAAGTTCAGGTTCATGTAAAAGACAAGAAGAAGTACAGTCGCCCCTCGATAATTCGAACCTCTTTAATTCAAAAACCTCGACAGTTCGAAATAAAAAACTCTCTCTAATTTGAAATAAAATCAATGTCTATTGATCCCCTCGGTAATTCGAAATTTGTCAGGCCGTTCTGTCCCTCTATAATTCGATATCCAAACATGCTTTCAAAATCATTCACTTTAAAGTTCCATCTACAATCTTAATTCAATCGGATTTTGGCTTGAACCAAGTGCCAACTCTCTTCATTCAAGCGGATTTCCTTTTGATTAAAGCATAAATCCAATTGAACCCTGAGTATTTTTTCTCGTCAAAGTGTGTAATAGTCTGGACTCTAGATCCAGAATTTTTCCAGTTTCGTTTTAGAACGTCAATGCTTAACATCCGATAAAGATGGATCTAAGAATGTTTTTTATTGGTGCACATCTAATGGATCTGCTGTCTGCCCCACTCGAGTGGTACAACCAACGGAGATTAACATAATTGATTAAACCGCCCGGAAATCACGCAAACATTTTTTCAGGTTGATCATTGAAAATTATAGACAAGTTAGTGATCCTATAAGTTTTTATATACAGGATCACAGCGATAACACCATTTCATCTAATCCATTCCAAGTATCCGTTCGATCTAATAAGTTAAAACGGGTGGTTCTTATAGACGAATTATAGACGAAAGGGGGAAATTTTTATAAGCTTGTTCTCAATCTGTAAAAAATGAGACAGAAGCGGACATTTTTAGTGATAGCAGTCGAGATAAGTTATTTCTGCGTTAATATAAGCTGGGGATTTATTTTAATAAAATCGGGATGCAAATCTCCAAAAGGGACGTCCGTCCGGCAACAGCTGGCAGAATGCTCGGTGCATAACGAGGCCTGGTCGAGGCCAATATTTGACGGTTAGCCTAAAATATGCCTCAACAAATTATTTCTCAATCGAAAGGCCGACTCTGGCCGTTATCGAGCCAGGCCTCAGCTCCGGCGCGATTGGCCGAATGGAACTATCTATGCTAAAAGGGACTATGTGCATTGGGGTTGCGTGCAATATAGTTCCTTTTAGCATAAATACGTCCAAATGAACTAGAGACCCGGAAGGTCCGCCTCGTTTGATTTCCATTAGCAGTTCCGCTCTATCTTCGCTCCTTTGACGTAAGCGCGTATCTCAATTTTAACGTGAGACCTGTTCCCCATTTGGCCGTATACTTTCCAGGGCTCATTTGAAAATAGAGATACGCTCTTCTTTAGAGGAGCAACGTTACGTCCACTGACGAGTTACGCGCTTTACTGTCCAGGAGCACGGTCGCCAGCCGCGTGGGATGGGATTTAATTTTGCCCGGAGAAAATTCTCGCCCTGGTTTTCTCGCGCTCATTGTCACCGTTTATGAGATCTCCGCTCAAGAACCGTCCATTTTTTAAAAGACAGTATTCTACAACTCACAATTATTTACATACAAATAGATCCATGGCTTCTCCAATACAATATCTGTAACTTGTACGGTCATAATTGAATGATGCGACTTACCGCGTTAGTCAAGTCACGGCTTTTTGGCATTCCCAGTTGTGCACATTCAAAATAACATCCTTCGTGATTTGGTTTATTCCAATTTTTATGAGCATTTTACATGAAACTAATTCTGCAACCGTAATGTATGATGGACCTAAATGCCATCATCTAGAATTTAACTCTTAAAGATTTTCTGCATTTTCTTACATTTCACGTTTACTCTTAAAGTTTTTCTCGATTTAACTACTTGTAAAGTTAGATATTTAATAACGCATCACAGTATCAATTAAAGCTAGCAACATAAGTAAAATCTTTCAGCATTCCAAAATCTAAGTGGAATCAATATTTATATTTGATTATTTCATGATAAAATAAATTTTCAAAGGCTAAGACGGTCTGTAAATGTTTCTGAATTTGTTCTTTTGTAAGTTTACAAAAAAAAAGGAAGGGAAGGAAAGAAAAAAATTGCCATCATGATATCGGTACCTTCCGGCCAAAGTATCACAAGCTTCATGCGACGTTTCAACATTACCGCCGCCATTTAATTTTTTTAACAGAGAAATTGTTGATTGAATCTGTCTGAAAATTTCTTTCAATTTTATCGGCACTACAAAGAAAATTCAGTGACATTTTCGGACTGCTTCGTTGAACCATTTCTCTGTAAAAAAATAAAAATGGCGGAGGAAAGTTTGAAATGTCGCACGGCGGTTGTGAAACTTTGGCCGGAAGGTGGCAATATCGGCACCCAATCATAAGTTACAAGGGTTCGAATGGAGACAAAATTAGAACACACGATCTCTGCAAGGATTTCAACTTTGAATGTGCCTGTGCCTCGTCTTTGAAAGTATGGCTGTAGGAGAAGATCAGGGCGCGTGTGGCGCAAGTTCTGATGGCCGGAACAGTTGGCTTGTTGAGTAGTTTATGACCACCCTCGTGACTGCTGACAGGCCTACCCTAAACGAGATGTAGGTGGCGTCTGAGCCGCACCAAAAAGGAGTCTGCATCCGATGCAGATTTCGACTCCGTGTTGCCGCGTCGAATCTCAAACGTATACTCGTATTTTCGGCTGAGTATCTTCTCCGCACAAAGTACATTTGTGATAATTTTTCCGATTATCGTTGCCGCACAAAATCATTTTCGCACAAATGATTTTCTGTAGTGTGTGGCAACGTCGAGAAAAATATGAAATAAAAAATGAAAATAAATTGTGGTAGGGCCACAGTTAGTTTTAGGGGATAACCCCTAACAATTTTTTTCCGTGGGATTTGGCGTATTTTTGGTTCAGCCGACTAAACCTTGTTCGCGTCTTTTTAGTCTCACAAACTTAAACTCCTAGATAGTTATTTTTACTGAAAATCGTCAAAAGTCAAAATGCGATAGTAAAATTTTTAAAATTACTTTAAGCAGCAGGGCATCGTAAACCTAGATGAATCGATGTAGAACAAGAGCGTTGAGTTATATCATTGTCTTTTTGCACTAACTGAAATTATTTTTAACGTAGTTTGCTCTGATTTTGTAGAGCATTATTCTTCAGTTCCATTGAAGAACGCAATTCATGGTGGATTTCAGTGAATGTGTAAAGAAGTTATCGTTTTATCATATTGAAATATTGAGTCGCACCTCGTAATTCCACGGTTGTTGCTTGTCATTGAGATCCAGCCACCAATAATAGGCTGTAATCATTTCAGGAGTTGAATTCTGACTGTTTATTTAAAAGTAAAATAGAATGCAGCGGCAACAGCGCGAAGATGCTGAACTTGAGTTGACAGCCGAAGACAAATAGTAGCCAACTGCGTTCAGCTCAACAAAAATAAATAATTGACACTATAATATTATGGGCTTAGCATCCTAGCTTGAGAGTATCCTGCGCGTTTTCGTCTTCCAAATATTTTCTTAAATGCTGACACTCCATTCTGCTTTACTTTTATCACCAGCAGCTCCATAAACTAAACGAGAGAAGCAATTTGTATAAATATGTTGCAATTTTATCATCTAGGTTTCTTTTTTTGGATACTTGAAAACTATCTGAAAAATAGGGAAACTAAGGGAAAACTGAGTCATGAACCAGTCAGAATTTTCGAACGATCAAGTTAAGACCTATTTTTGATACTTGTGTTTTCCGCCTTTGTACGTTTGGCTCAGTCAAAATTTTGTAAAAAAAAAAAAAAAAAGAAAAAAAAAAGGAATTAATAATCCATACGAACCCTTTAATTTTTACGTTCGCCCAATACCCGAATAATTTATTTTGATTAAAACTAAAGGGTGCTTCATCTAATTTTGTAATGTACGACACGTTTTCTGGAACAATATATGTCTTTTGAAGGTAAAGAAATTTTGCCGGGATTTTTTTTTTCACCAATCCAAGAAATAACTATTATTAAAGTTTCCTTTCGACATTTCGGTTTGTTTTCCGTCGGGAAATAATACCTTATTTAAAACTTCATGGCAGGCAGGGGCAAAATTTGGAGAAGCAGAAGCAATTCCAGAAGTTGCAGGTACGCTGTTTATAATTATTCTCATTTTATAAAATTCAGCTACATGTCTAATCTTATGCTATGCATTTATTCGTAAGTACACCCAACTATAATTGAACAAAACCAATAATTTTGAATGTTCTCCTTGTCTGTTTCAGCTCAATTTCGCTCTCCCCGCATAACGGAACATCCCAGTGACATGGTCGTCCCGCGCAACGAACCCGTGACCCTCAACTGCAAAGCCGAGGGCAAGCCAGAGCCGACGATAGAGTGGTACAAAGACGGGGAGCTCATCAAGAAAACGCCACATTCGAACCAAAGGGTGCTCCTGCCCACCGGGTCCTTGTTTTTTCTCAGGGTGGCTCACAACAAGAAGGAGCAGGACAGTGGTGTATACTGGTGCGTCGCTCGGAATACGGCTGGAGTCGCTACTAGCAGGAACGCCACTCTACAAGTTGCAGGTACGGTCTCTTCTTTCGCTTTTTCTACCAAATTACCAAATTTTGGAACGACAGAGATTTTGTTAGAGGACACGTGACTTCACGAAGGTGGCAACGTTCCATGAAAAATAAATCTTGACATTTCACTTGAAATATTTCATGAAATTTTAGAAATTTATGAAAGACATTGAAAAATACCGGTTCCTCTTCATGTTTCGCAAAATGTAAAAATTGTCACTTTCTTCTATTATTGTGTGTTAGAGTGCGGGTTGCATACTCTAGCCCCTGAAATATATGAAATATTTCACAGCCTCGTGAAATTTCATGGAATATTTCACTGATTTTACCAATCTTTCATTTCTTTCTTAACGTTCCTAAACGTTTATATGAAGGCGGGCTTAGTTGAGAGCTGATTTTTACAGAATTCATTCGGTTATACATTAAAAGCAAGTATACTCACGGCTAGGAACCGTGAATCCACTGTATTAAAATAGATTAATTTTTCACAAATACGTTTTTCAATTAATCGTCACGAAAGCCGTCTTCGCTTCAAAAGCACCATTAAGAACCCTTTTGAACTGGGCTACTCAGGTTCCTCCCTCTTTTTTCAGCATACGCTCAGCGATTCCACACGGTGTTGCTCGGGAGCCATGTATTCCCCGCATTTCCTCTCGTCTAGCGTCTCTTCCTTCTCATCTCGGAGTCGGGTTTCCGTTTTTCCTGCAGTTTATAACGTTTCTTACACTGATAAAAGTTAAATATTCAACTCGGAGCGAGAACACAAATTCGATGCGCCCTCGCCTTTGGAGACACAGTCGACCGAGAACCCGCTCCGTTGTCTCGAAACTTTCAGAACACAGCAAATGAACCCACCTGCATGATTGTACGTGCTGAGTCGCACTCAGCCCCCCCCCCTCTCCCCCCGAATCTCACGTAAAGAGCTTTACACTTTCCGAGAGGAGAGAATACCCCGAGTGCATTTTGAACTTTTTTCCTCCTGTCGGCGAACAAAATCCATTTCGCGTTAGCGCAGAACACAGGAATTTACTCGAATGCAACTTCATGAAACGACCGGTGGAAAGCCAGCACCTGTTTACGCTTCCACGTGTCCTCGCGTTTCTTTCCTCTTGTATTTTATCATCAACAGGCTGTAGTTTTAATACCGTAATTTCATATCTTCGATCTGGACGCGGAGATTTCTCGGCAGCGGATCGTGTTCGATACATCGAACAGGTGAGATTGTATCGATATCGATTGGTTCAACTTGTGAACATAGCCTCGAAAGTCAATTGAGTAATCTGAGGGAACAGGTTTTTTGTGATCTACAGATACTTATAAGTACAAAGTGGCAATGAAGAGTGAAATTGTTAGGAATTTTCTCCATTTTAGCTTTTCCAAATTGAATCCTAAAATTTGTGTTTGAGGTTATGTTCTGTTGTTTTGAACCAAACGATTCATCGAACCACTATCGAATAGGATCTTTTGCACAACGAACGTCCGTCCGTGTCTGTGTCGCGTTGATTCGCGATAGCATCGTTTATCTAATCGCGAAAACTGGTCGACACTGTTTAATCCGCGAAGACTGCGCAATCAGGCGAATAAACGGACCTCGTTATCGAAGTATGTTTCTGATTCGAATCGCTGATCAATTAGGGAGGCATGAACCGCAATAATTACTCACTCTACTTTAGTTCACCTGTTGCTTTGTGATCTCCATGACCATTGACCATTCGATGGTGCATTTACATCATAGGGTGTTTGTAGATATTTAGAGTGAAAAATTAACAAACCAAGACTTGTTCATTTACCGCGACTAGTCGTGACTAATCAATACAAAATATGGGATGGAAACTTTAGCAAAGCTTTCTCAGGGCACAGAAGTGAAGCTCCAATGGGGAGGCAAGGGCTCAATTGGACGTATCTCTATCAAACGGAACTTTGTGCATTAAGACATGAGCCCTGCGTCCCTTAAGAATAAATGTATAACAGGGCTCACGTCATGATGCACATAGTTCCGTTTGGCAGAAATGCGATCAATTACTACGTCTCTGCACTGTTAAACATTCATGTGTATTTCTGAAATGTACCATACGATGTGGAATAATTTTCCATGCGCGAATTTCATTAAATTGTTCGTTGAATCCCGTAAATTAATCAATCCAACGTTTGGCTTTTTTTTTTTTTTTTTTCTTGTCTTTCTTTCTATGTCAGTTTATCAAGTATTGTTTTGGCAAACCAAGAATTCAATATAATGCGAAATTCTTACGGGACAGTTGTGCTCATTTTATCAAGTCAAGGCTGCTTTTCAGGTTTTTTACCGTCAGTAGAAACCGGAAAATATCAGGAAATTCAATGTCATCGGGAAAAATCAGGAAAATAGGTCACGGATCAGGGAATTTCGAGTACGTCAAGCGTTTTTTAACTGCACGCAGTTTAGTACTGCCATGTTAAGGGAGAACGCCGTATGAACCTTCAGGCGTTGCCAGATTTCCTAAGATAAAACTCGAATTTTCCAGTAAACTCATGAATATTTTCATTCCAGTTTTTCAGATAATTTTGTTTGCAATTCCACCGAAAAGTCCTGCAAAATTCAAGGGAAAACTTTCATAACTTTCTCTGCAAATGAACATTTTATCGAAGGAAATTTGGCAACTATGTTCAGACGTTGTTCTTCCTCAGCACGGCAGAGCATATGCACGAGTGGAACATTAGATTCAATTCATCAAATATATTGGTCCGTGAAATCAAACCAATGTCACTGTATTTGTTCAAAAAATCAGTGAAACATCAGGCAAATCTGTTATGAAATTCTAGTAGACACCTTGTCAGCTTGCAGCGAAGGGTGCGTACACATACACATTGTTCGGTCGTCGGACACTCGGGAACGATCTGTAGATCTGCGGTCGAATCTGTCTGAGAGATTCTCGGATTGGACGTGGCAGGTTTCAACACCCACCGCGGAATTCCACCAATGAGGGGGCATCCTAGGCGCGGCGCATCTACCCCTCGCCGCGCCGCCGGCCGCGTCCAAGACTGCACAGCGCGTAACTTTCACCGCGGCCGCGCGATAAAACTCCGATTAACGCCGGAATGATGGCTAATAGTTGTTAGATGCTGGATATTGCTGTTCTCCGCAGCTTCGGTGCCTTGAGCTTACGGTTAGGCTCGCGGTGGGGGAGGGGGGCTTGGCCTAAGAGTTTCCGTGCCGACATCTGAATCAGATGAGAACGGCGCGGCGAACGGAGCCGCGGAGCTGCAACGATGGAAGCCGACGATAAGGGCAGCAGCCGGACTCACCCGTGACTTGTTTTTGCATTGCGCCTCGAGTCAAATAAAACGCTCCCAAGCTGTGCACAGTGGATGCGGCCCGGGACCAACGCGACTTCCTCGAGTCAACACTCCGCTCAGCAGAGGCAGAAAAGTCGTCACCTTCCAGGCAAAGTATCACAAACGCCATGCGACGTTTAAAAATTTCCGCCGCCATTTTATTTTTTTACAAAGAAATTGTTGGTTGAATCTGTTTGAAAGTTTCACTGAATTTTATCGGCAGCACAAAAAATCAGTGAAATTTTTGGATCAGCTTCGTTGAACAAGTTCTTTGTAAAAAAATAAAATGGCGACGAAAATTTTTAAACGTCGCCTGGCGCTTGTGATACTTTGCCTGGAAAGTGACGAAGTAGGCACCTCGCTTGAGCAACAGTATCAGTCGTTTTAAAACTGTCTAGTAATGAGGATGAAAAAAAAAAAACACTAAGAAGTGGCCCGAACTGTATGTAACATGGTGCTGGGTCCACACCATTTCGCGGGTAAAACAAAGCCAAGAAGTTCCAAAAAACTTTTGGAACTTTTTGGAACTTCTTGGCTTTGTTTTCCTCGAGAAATGGTGTGGACCCAGCACCAATTCTCCACCTTGTAATGAGGATGTCCTTCACATACTGAGTTGGGCAATAGAAACGCTCGATACGTCTGTACGCTTGATGTGTCACAAGTGGGAGGGGGCATTTGCAAATTAAGATATTTCAAGGGGTACTTCCCCCATGGATATTAACTCATAATTGAAAAAGTAACAAAAACTCAAGGTACCTGGTGCCGGTCGATTGCCTCGCTGTAGACTGTAGAGAGGCTCTCGTTATAACGATAGTTGTCAAAGACGGACGAACTCCGACATCAATGATTTATTAATACACAATGTCACCATGCAGGGTGCAAAATCTCTGCGATCTCTCGATCCTAAATTGTATGCACCGCGGCCGCGGTAGGTTCGGCACCGAAAGCGCGCACCGTAGTGAACTTGTAATGCGTGCAGTATCCCAACAGTCTTGTAGGCGCCAATTTGGGCTTGGCTCAGACCAGCGACCGCACTGCGCTAGGCACAATGCGTGAAGTATTCCCGCATTCTTGTAGCCGCTAAAATGCTTTTCGTGTGTTGGGCGCGATTTGTTAAACTCGCGAAGTCGGTGTTTTTCAACTTGTTATTGTCATTAAGTTTTTAAGTTTTTGCTCACTCTGTATGGCTTACTGTCATTTAAAATGATGGAAAAAAAAAAAAAAAAAAAAAAAAAAAAAATAATACATAAAAACTTACCAATGGACGACTAGACAAGGTAGGAGTTAAAGGATTCTAATACATGTTTCTTAACCAGAATTTCACGTAAAACACGACTCGCGCAACGAAAATCACCGAAACCAACTCCTAACGGAGATATTAACATTTTTATTTCACATTGGTTCCGAGGATTTTGAACTGCCCGCTCACAAGAAACTCAAAGCTCTACGTGAGTCAAATCGCGCACTACAACGGTTTCAGCAAGCTTCTCAATCGAGCAATGTTCATTTCCTACCATGTGTTTTTCAAACTGTAAGCAGTTTGCTATAGCTGAGCCAAAGCGTCAAGATTGAGGTTGCCAGATTTTTTTTATCGCAGAGACGTTCATGATAACGTTTAGCGCGCGATGTAAATCACGTAGAGCATTGAGTTTTCATGAGAGGGTGGTTTCAATTCGCACACCAAGAATCATTAAATATCTTCGGAAGGAGTTGATTTTGGTAATTTTCTTTGTGCGCATCGTGTTTTACCTGAAATTTTTGTGAAGAAGCGTGTATCGGAATGCTAAAATTCGTAACTTGTCTAGTGGTCCATTTTGAAATTTTCACTAAATTAGAAGTTTTGAATAAGCTTCCGCTTCGATGGGAATGGAGAGCAAGGAAGCTCTGAAAGCACTGTGCGCCGGTGCGGTGCCCAGAGTTAGCTTTGGCCTCAACTCGAACATAGAAGCCGAGCAAATGACCTGACATCCGTGATTAATACCCAGCCTGCGTCCGCGGTCGGTCGGCCCGGCAATGATCTTGGCCCAGTGGCGTGGCGTACTTCGCGATATATCGATTGATCTGATATTCAAACCTATGGAAAAGGATCGATGAAGGAGGTTATCGCAACGAACACCTTAATAATCGATCCTTTTCCATAGCTTCGAGTGGGGGAATATCGATAATCGATCGTGTGGTCCAGCCCGAGCACGATGTGTGTGGCGCAGGCGCTGCACCGAGCACCGAGTTGCAATGCTCGATGCACCCAAGGCTTCCAATCCTGCACCAGCAATGTCCCGTAACGTCAACATACGCTGTGTCACGCCTTGTCGTCCTGCCTGTGATCCTGAAACGCAAAAACACCATCCACTGTGCCGCCCTGCTAAGGAAAAACGGCTTATGTGTATTTGAGCAGTCCTACATTTCTTTTCATGGGGTACAGCAAAAACGAAAAGTTTGGATCTTCTTCCTTCAATTTTTCAGAAAATTTCATTTGTGAGTCAGTGAGACAGGGAGAGTAAGGGCATGTCGAATTATGGAGCTCTTAGGGCCCAAAAAGGCAGCCAATCTTCTAACACCGAAAATGTCAATGAATATCAGTGCCAATCTTTAGATTTCAAATGGTTGGATGGATCAGCTTGCCCTACTACCAAATGGAGGTATCTACACGACCGAATTTACCTAATCCTACACTCCAAGCCATATGAAATCTAAAAATGCAGCCAGGACCTCAGTTTTCCTTCAACTCAGTGGTTATGCAATGTCAGCAGCTCAAGAGTTAAAATAGTTGCATCGCGTATACTTTAATAGCTTCTAACAATATTTTAGTGAGCACGATCAAAATCTAGAAAAGTAATATTACGGAAAAATTCAGTTTACCTTCAATTCAGTGGCTATGCAATTTGGTCTACCTAAGAGTTAGAATAGTTGCATATCATAATTATTTGAGATGATAATGTTCAGTAGGTACTCCAGTATCTCCGGGTAGGAATTTCGTGAATGCGTCAAATTTCGCACGATTCGCGCTTGAATTTTGCAAATTTGGTTAGTTTAAGATAGATATTGAAAAAACACCAAATTTTCCCGCCGACAAGGTCCTGAATTCCTCTATGAAAGTACTGGAAAAATTCTCAGGGTGTCTACCGGTCCCCAAAAGTCCTCAATGTCCCCGATTATCCCCGATTTTGGGAGAGTGTCCCCGATATCCCAGAAAGTCCCCAATTTTCTTGTTCAAGTCCCCAAAAAATGACAAAAATCGTCCCAAAATACCGGCATTTTCCCACCAGCCGAGGCGGCGCGATATAACCAGGAATAAAAAACTGGAGTGTTGCTTGGTTTTTCGTGTGCTTTCATCGGTTCAGCATGACTTGTAAAATTGGTCGCATAAAATACGCCTTTTAACGCTCTAACTAGCTCCCTTTCTCTTACTATTTCGGGAAAAAAATCCCCGATTTTGTTCACTGAAAAAAAACTCCGGCCGTGGGAGCCGCAATTACGGGCTATATAGACATACCGTCTGTTCCGGGCTCAAAGGCCGAAAATTCTGGCTGCTGGAGGTGTAGCTTCGATTGCTCCGAGTTCAGTGGCCGAAGCTACGGCTCCAGCAGCCGGAATTTTCGGCCTTTGAGCCCGGAACAGACGGTATGTCTACATAGCCCGTAATTGCGGCTCCCACGGCCGAAGTTTTTTTTTTCAGTGTTGAAAAAACACCCCTAATTGTCCCCCAAAGTCCCCGATTATGGTTTTTTATAACTGGTAGACACTCTAATGCTGTAAAAGTACTTATTTTTTGCCAGCTAGTTGTAGTAGACACCCTGACCTCATTCGTCGGCGATTTTAATTCCCATGCTGCCGTGCGCCTCGGCCAATTAATTTACGGGCGGAATGAAAGTGTCTGGACGTTGCGGGATGCGACCGAGGGCGGCGTGAAATTGGATCGATTCCACGGTTCCGCTTCCCTTTTGTTGGTCCTGGATGACATCCAAAGCGCTAAAAGTAAAAGAATGTCGCGCTAATCAATAAACCACTCGTCGCGCCAAATTTCCAGTCGCCCGTCGGGTAGTTCGCGCTCCTGCCCGCCCGTGCCGCAACCACCAACGACCCCTCGCCCCTAACCTTTTTTAGCTCGAGTCGACGGAACGAAACTCAAAGTTCAGGTTTCCAATCCGCAGCAACCGAGCGCCCTCCTTCCGCCCTCATTTGTTTGACATTTAAATTTCATTTTGCGGCCCTCACTTGTGTACTTTCTCTCTTCATCGAAAGCTGCGGCTGGGAATGGAATCGTCAAGCAAAACCCCTCCATGCAACACTTCTCAATGATATAGTCCACCTACCGTTAAACATAATGATGAAACAAGGGTAAAAAACGAGGAAACTACACGGAAAAAAAAACTTCGTGCGTGGGACCCGAAGTTTAGGTCATATGGATCTCTGAAGTTTTCGGATTGAGCATTTGAACCCTTTAGATCTAGCTGTCGAGGTTCGGATCACTCACCTGAAACTTCAGTTTATACATCTGAAAGTACTTCGGTTTTCACATCCGAAAAACTTCGATTCTCACATCCGAAAAACTTCGGTTCTTACATCTGATGTACTTCAGATGTAAGAACTGAAGTTTGAGATGTGTGATCCGAACCTTGACAGCTAGATCTGAAGTGATCCATATGACCTAAACTTTGAGTCCCACGCACGAGGTTTTTTTCTCCGTGTACCATTACTTGAGACTGGAATCGCTAAAATTAGAAAGCTCAAACTTTCCTTACTTGAATTAAAATGGTGCCCCAATATTCATCTTCATGTTGGTTGGTTCCTCAAAAATACATGTTGTCTGCGAAGAAATTCAACAACTCTTGAATGTTTATACGGCGTTTTGCCTTAGCCCGAATAATTGTCCAGCCCGAATTTGTGTTCAATTTGTTCGGGATGCGAGGCAGCGAATGTTTGCGAAGCGGCCAACGACGCGACGGTAACGAGGATGCCGAGGTTGGACGTGAGGTCTAATTAATCAGACGAACGAAATCGAAACACGATACCCTATCAGAGACAATATCGGGGAGCATCGGGCCCGCAAGGGGGCGCGGGGGCGTGCCTTATCGGTCGCAAAATTACCGGAGGCCACAACAAACGCTTTTACGGTCAGACCAACAGCAACAGCGTCAAGCCAGGAATGCAAATTAAAGTTGGCGCGGAACTCGGTGGACCGGCGGATTGCATAATAATGATTCCGCGAGGAACGGAACGATGGAACAGGAACGGCGGGAACGGACCGAAAGGGGCTGAAACAAGGACGCGATGACAGAAGTTACCGCCTTTTGTGTCCTCCCGGCTCGGGCTTACGAGCTCTCTGCGACACAGATATTATCTCTCGTGTACATGTTACCGGCAAACCCCGTTTTTCAGGCAGACCTAGGTCTGCCTAGGCAAACCTAGGTCTGCCTAGGTAGACCTAGGTCTGCCAAGCACCTCGTTTGGCAAACCTAGGATTGCCTGAAAATTTTAGGCAGACCTAGGTTTGCCAAAAGTGATTTTAGGCAAACTAGGTTTGCCAAACGATTTTTTTGGCAAACCCCGTTTCTGATTTCTACCGCTAAAGTGACTTTACCGGAAAACTTTTTCTACCGCTAAAGTGACTTTACCGGAAAACTTTTCTACCGCTAAAGTGGCCTTACCGGAAAACTTTTTCTACCGCTAAAGTGACTTTACCGGAAAACTTTTTCTACCGCTAAAGTGACTTTACCGGAAAACTTTTTCTACCGCTAAAGTGACAGTACGAATTCAATGAGAAACAACTATTTATCCCCACGCAGACCGGGGCGAGCGGTGGTTTATTATAAAAGAATCACAGGTGAGGCTGAATAACAGTGTAACATAATATCACAAGTGCTTAAAACAGGGCACGAGAAATCTGAGTAGCAAAAAAAATTGGAAAAAAAATGCAAAATTTACAATTACAATTTGAAAAAAGATACAATTTGAAATCGTTACAGATTCCTTGTCACTTTTTTAACATAATATCATAATATCACAAGTGCTTAAAAAAGGGCATGAGGGAAAACGTTACACAATTGATGCAATTCGAAATCATTATAGATTTCTTGTCACTTTTTTATTTTTTAGAGGAAAAGTACATTCAAAGGAAATTTATTTATTGTTGCAGCTGAGGCTGGAGTGACATTTGGAGTTGCACAGTTTGCCATTTTTGCGGCACTTACACTGGTTTGAGGTGCAACCTTTTTTGCAGTTGCACCTTTCGAACCCCTGCGCAGAACCCCCAGCAACACTGGCTGCGGCCGCACGTACCGTAACCTTTTTTTCGGCTGGCACCTCACTGACCGATATGAAGGCCGTGGCGCACACGTCGAATTCCGACCGACAGTACCTTTTAGGGAGGATGCCGTCTTTGGTCCCTATTTTGTATAACTCGTGTTCGTTTTTGTCGAGAATTACGCCGATTATGTTTCTTAAACAAGCACGAGGCTTGTCCACGTCTGGTATAGGTATTGTTACGTTGTCGCCGACCTTCGCTGGCGGATGCGTTTTGTCCGAGTGCAGACGCATCTTCTTAGCTTGCTGTTCCAAACCAGCAGCTGCCTGACTCCGAGCTTTTCGGATGTTCTTCCTCGTCGCGCAGTTGCCGCACAAGACTTCATGTTCGCCTTCCGGTTTTTCTTCTGTTGTGTCCAAGTCAGCACCGCACGATTGGCAAACGTTTCCGGCGGAAGTTGTGACTGGACTAAGTTGAGGTGGTTGAGTCTGGGTAGTGTTTCCGGCGGAAGTTGCGACGGGACTAAGTTGAGGTGGTTGAGTCTGGGTAGTGTTTCCGGCGGAAGTTGTGACTGGACTAAGTTGAGGTGGTTGAGTCTGGGTAGTGTTTCCGGCGGAAGTTGCGACGGGACTAAGTTGAGGTGGTTGAGTCTGGGTAGTGTTTCCGGCGGAAGTTGTGACTGGACTAAGTTGAGGTGGTTGAGTCTGGGTAGTGTTTCCGGCGGAAGTTGTGACTGGACTAAGTTGAGGTGGTTGAGTCTGGGTAGTGTTTCCGGCGGAAGTTGTGACTGGACTAAGTTGAGGTGGTTGAGTCTGGGTAGTGTTTCCGGCGGAAGTTGTGACTGGACTAAGTTGAGGTGGTTGAGTCTGGGTAGTGTTTCCGGCGGAAGTTGTGACTGGACTAAGTTGAGGTGGTTGAGTCTGGGTAGTGTTTCCGGCGGAAGTTGTGACTGGACTAAGTTGAGGTGGTTGAGTCTGGGTAGTGTTTCCGGCGGAAGTTGTGACTGGACTAAGTTGAGGTGGTTGAGTCTGGGTAGTGTTTCCGGCGGAAGTTGTGACTGGACTAAGTTGAGGTGGTTGAGTCTGGGTAGTGTTTCCGGCGGAAGTTGTGACTGGACTAAGTTGAGGTGGTTGAGTCTGGGTAGTGTTTCCGGCGGAAGTTGTGACTGGACTAAGTTGAGGTGGTTGAGTCTGGGTAGTGTTTCCGGCGGAAGTTGCGACGGGACTAAGTTGAGGTGGTTGAGTCTGGGTAGTGTTTCCGGCGGAAGTTGTGACTGGACTAAGTTGAGGTGGTTGAGTCTGGGTAGTGTTTCCGGCGGAAGTTGTCACCGGTTCATTCTCGTCGTTTTCTTCGTCATTTTCTTCATTGACCTGTGAGGAAGCCAATAACTCCTCCAGCTGCTCCTCCGTCTCAACATTCGCCAACATATCCGGCGTCAAACTGCTTGTAGTGAGACCAACTCTTGGCTTCATTCCGAATAATGCTTCGTATGGGCTCATTCTGATACCGGCGTGATAAGCACGATTTTTCATGAACTGGATGAAAGGTAACGCGTCGGGCCACTGGTTCGTCTTTTTGTCAATTAGCCACGCCGCCAACATATTTTCCACGTCCTGGTTGGCGCGCTCAATGGATCCCTGACTTTGACTGTGGCGCGGCTTACCGTTGACCAGTTGCAACTCCGGCCAATGTATTTTCATGCACTTAATAATATTATTGACGAATTCCCTACCGTTGTCGCTGTGAAGGATACACGGTGCCCCAAAAGTTAAGAAGATGTCCTTCAAGTGCGCAGCTACTTCCTCAGCTGTTTTGTGCGAGAGGGCTCGAAGCTGAATAAATTTTGTTAAGTGGTCTTGATAATTGAGGATGAACCGTTTCCCTTGGATTTCTTGACTCTGCATGTCCACAAGATCGACCTGGCAGCGACTGTTTAGCTGTTTGTGCAGGATGGGCTTCGTCACGAGTCCTCTTTTTCGTTTGGTTTTCTTCCCGGCACAGACCTCGCACATCCCTAGAAACTTTTCGATCATAGGTCTAGTAATGTTAGCATATTTGCGACCTGAAAGCAGAAAAACAAGGACAAGTAATTTCAAACAAGTCAGCCAGTGCCGAGTATTTTTCCTATTTTCGCGCCTTGAGACAAGCTGTCCGCTGCATGTGCCGCTAAGTACAGTGAAAATCGTGGATCGGTAAGATAAGCAGCGACAGCTCGGAGGTAGGATTCTCGACTGCGAAATGAAAGGTCCACGGTTCGAGTGTGACTGGCGGCGCTTAATTTTTACATCGAATTTAAAAAAAAAAACAAAAAATTTACCGAACAAATTAGTGAGATAATCAATAATATTAAGTGACATAATAAAATTAAAATAAATCTGAGACCAACATAGTTCATTATTTTTTTAAAAATTACCATATAGAATACGTCAAGGCTCGTGCTATAAAAACAGAAAATAAACAGAAAAAAAAAAATTGATAAAAATAATGGTTAACTACGAAACTTACCAAGCTCTGCTTTCAACCGGTCTCGACCTCCGTGTCCAATAGCAGCATGAGTCGCTTCAATTGTTCCGTATACTTCCTCCAATGGAACAAAATACACAATGTCATCGGTTCCCGTTGCTTTCACCAACTTTTCTATACCCCCGATTTCAATAACATTAAACCGCCTAACACGTCTCTTCTGTTGGGGGGTTTTATTCCGAGCACTTCTCGCGGCTTTCACTTCATTTATCAGATCACTGTACTGTTCTCTGGGAATAACATGCAATTGGTTTTTTTCACTATCTTCATTTATAAAACTACGTAAAAAAAGTTCAAAATTAACGTTCGCGGTAGCCATGATTACTCCGTTGCACAAAAACAAAACACTGATCACTGTCCTCCGTGGACGCCGCGTTCCGCGAAGCGTGTTTGGTGCGCTACCGTTCGCACCTAATCCACAAGAATTTAATCTAATTGGAATGTCCACTGATAACGCCGCCGAATTTTTCTCACGAGTGCTTCCCTTGTTGCCAAGTAAGCGGTGAAAAAGTTTTCCGGTAAAGTCACTTTAGCGGTAGAAAAAGTTTTCCGGTAAGGCCACTTTAGCGGTAGAAAAGTTTTCCGGTAAAGTCACTTTAGCGGTAGAAAAAGTTTTCCGGTAAGGCCACTTTAGCGGTAGAAAAGTTTTCCGGTAAAGTCACTTTAGCGGTAGAAAAAGTTTTCCGGTAAAGTCACTTTAGCGGTAGAAATCAGAAACGGGGTTTGCCAAAAAAATCGTTTGGCAAACCTAGTTTGCCTAAAATCACTTTTGGCAAACCTAGGTCTGCCTAAAATTTTCAGGCAATCCTAGGTTTGCCAAACGAGGTGCTTGGCAGACCTAGGTCTACCTAGGCAGACCTAGGTTTGCCTAGGCAGACCTAGGTCTGCCTGAAAAACGGGGTTTGCCGGTAACATACACATTTACGTCCTCCATCATTGGCCTAAGTGTTAAATATAATACCTAAATGTGTTGTAACAATGGTCGTGACTCCTCCGATTGGTTTTGCGTGCGTTTTCCAGCGCCGGTCCCGCGCTGGTAGCTTTATTTACGCACTGCGACCTGTTGGACCCGGATAGCTTCTAATTGGATTTATGAACCTACTCGTGAGAATGAAGATCTATTTCCACCGGGCACAGTCTACTCGCGTTACGAGCGGATTCTGTTCGCGGCTAGCTTGCCAGCGAACATTATGGGTGACGACGAGTTCAGGGTTTTGTACGCGAGCATGTTCCTACACCGAGATGAACAAATTTGTGGTGAAAGTTGACAAAACCGGACTCCATTGCGTAGTTTCAAACCTTCGTAAAAAAAAAAGAAACATCATCAGAGATCAATCGAAACGTGGAGAATCTCTAATAATGATCAGGGAAATGATCTCGAATGTTTCAAATTTTATTCGAAACTACCGTGTTAGCAGGGTGTCTACAAGTCCGGAATTTCCGGAAAGTCCGGAAATAGCACTGATTTTTTAAGAGCGGTCCGGAAGTACTGAAAAAGTGCGGAAATTCCGCTAACTCACTCAAACTGAGTTTAAAACTCACAAAGCGCAGAAGATGTGAGTTTACGTGATTTTGGAAATTCCTAAGAGTGCAAACACGGCTATTCGGTCGAACTCAATTGTGCGGTTCGAGACCTCTCGACTTGAGTCGAGACCTTTACGTCTCGGGGGGATTCCTAGGGGTGCAAACACGGCTTTTTGGTCGATCGCATCCCACGATTCGAGATCTTCCACTTGTGAGTTTAAAACTCACGAAACGCGGAAGATGTGCGTTTACGTGCTTTTGATTCCTAGGAGTGCAAACACGGCTATTCGGTCGAACTCATTGTGCGGTTCGAGATCTCTCACTTGTGTGTTTAAAACTCACAAAGCGCAGAAGTTGCAACTTTACGTGCTTTTGGGGATTCCTAAGGGTGCAAACACGGCTCTTCGGTCGAACTCATTGTGCGGTTCGAGATCTCTCACTTGTGTGTTTAAAACTCACAAAGCGCAGTAGTTGCAACTTTACGTGCTTTTGGGGAAACTAAGGGTGCAAACACGGCTTTTTGGTTGATCGCATCCTACGATTCGAGATCTTCTACTTGTGAGTTTAAAACTCACGAAACGCGGAAGATGTGCTTTTCCGTGCTTTTGATTCCTATGAGTGCAAACACGGCTATTCGGTCGAATGCCTTGTGCGATTCGGAATCTTCCACTTGTGAGTTTAAAACTCACTAAGCGCAGAAGATGTAATTTTACGTGCTTATGTAGATTCCTGGGGGTTGAAACACGACTATTAGGTCGAACGCAATATGCGATTCGAGATCCTTCACTTGTGAGCAATGTATTGGAAAATTCTGCTACATTAGTTCAGCCTGACTAAACTTAGTCCCTACTAAAGAAGAGATGAAGCCACGATTAGATAGAAATAAGCGACGGAAAAAATAAATGCTGAGGACGAAGGGAACGTCATCGATGGCGATAAAAAAGTTGTGGCGCGGGCAAAAATTTTTCAGAACCCGTAATATATCGATACTTTTGGCGAGCGATGAGGCACGTTTTTTACGTTTGTTCGCCTGGAGGTTAATTTTTCTCCTCTAAATTCGATTCGTTTGATGTTCCCGAGTTAAAAGGGGCAATTTTCCACGCCACTGTTCCAACTATTTGCAATCAAGCCTGAAACATGTGCATCCTCCGAGCGCGGCGCTAGCGCAAGTTTTGCCGACCAACTGACACGCTGCACTGACAACTCTTTTCCCGCGCTTGCCACGTCGAGATGAAAATAATGAAAAAGTTGCAGTTTTTAAAAATATCGATGGGTAACGAACATTGTAGGAGAAAATCCCTTATCCATTAAGCGTAGATCCGACGCTGTGTAATTCCTCTCTGTGGCTGTGCGTTCTTAACCAAAAAATGTTCCAAAATTCTTTAAAGAGAAAAATTGTTCTTGTACTTATAGGGCGGATGGTTGTGAGGGTTACAAAGGGTATACAAACGCAGGAAAAAACTACGGTCGAAGTAGCTTCGGCCAGTAGTACCAGTAGCTTCGACTTAAATGACCCTCGAAAGTGTTCAATTCAGATAATCAAGTTCATGGTCACGGACTCTTTAACTTCGGGTCAAGTAACCAAGATCGAAGATAGTGTTATTTTTTGGTGAAACTCATCTTTACGACCGAAAATTTTGTTTATCTGGACAGAATCTTTTTGTGACCGAAAAGTGTCGTAACTTATACTTGGAAATTTTTGATAGTTTTTAATGAATCGATAATAAATCGGAGTAATCCTGGTACTTTTTCTCCGGTTATGTCCACCGAGGGGGAAGAGGTTGTTAAGAACACGCAGTCCACTGCGCTGAAAAGATGTTACTAGAGTACCTTTATAGGGAGAGTATGGACAACTCGTAATATGTAGCTCGTAAGGCCCAAAAGGTTAGGTAACCTTTGAAAACGAAAAATGTCTTTGTCAATCTTTAGACTCCAATATCAAACGAAAATGGACAAGAGAATTCACAAGTAAGCATTCTTCCGCAAAAATGAATAAATTTATGCAAAAACCAAGTCAAATACGTGCTTTACCAACGAAAGTTCCCAACAATTGTGATTATAAATCACGCTGGATAATTTGAATTCATAGATTGCCTACCCTTTTGGGGTCCAAGAGCTCCATCACCTGACCTCAAAATTTTCGACACGTCCATACTCTCCTTATGTAGTAACTCTAGATTATCACTTTTAATACCGTCAGGGGACTACACAAGTTAAAATTCCTTAAGAACACAAAGATAAAAACACACTCACTTGCGTAAAAATTGTTTTTACGCAAGTGAGTGTATTTTTATCTTCGTGTTTTTAAGGAACTCTAGATTATACCAGAAAATGGTGGAATTGAGCGAGCAAATTGGCAGCAGGACAGTTGTCCGAGCCGCTTTGACTTTGTTTTATACACACGGAGCCCACCTTCGTGCTTGGTGCCTTTGTGTCTTCCGCTGGTGGCGTTTTTTATGCGGCTATTGTGAGCGTCAGTTTGGGTTGGTAATTAACTGAACAATTACAGTTTGTAACACTCGCACTTCCGTCAAGCCCGAGCTTGGCCCTTTCTCTACCGTGCCAATTCACAGTTCAATGTTCCTGTGCCTCCCCCCCTCCCCACCTCTCTTGCCACTCTCCACCTTCCCCTCTACTCGTTGAATGAATCACAGGAGTTACTCACCCTGTCTCTGTCTAACTTTATTTCCAGTTTTCAGCAAAATTCTTCCCCCCCCCCTCCCCTCTAATTCCCCGCTCGCACCTCACTGAAAAAAAAAATCTCGGTGTATTTACTAAGAAAAGGGTAAAATCACCAAGAATTCAGGGTTCTATTTGATCCCAGTTTTTTCTAGGTAAAATTACCATTTATGGAATTGGTAATATTACCAAGAAATCTCGGTAAAATTGTTGAACTTTCTCGGTGATTTTACTGGACCTTGGTAAAAACGCCAATATTTTTTATCGACTGTGGTAGAATTACCGAGATGAAATGGCAAAGTTACCGGGAATTGATTACCAATAATAGTGGTATTCTTACCTGAAAAAACGGTAAAAATACCGGTTTTTAGGTAAGCTTACCAGTCTGTCTTGGTAAAATTATCAATAATTGGTAAAAAAAGTGATATGGTAAAGGTACCAACGGACCTTAGTAAAAACGCCGAAAATTTTTTTTCAGTGCTCCACTCCTTCCCCATCGCCCCTTCACCCTCTCTTTCACGGTAGCTGTATATGATCTGGAAAAATCGGGTATTACCGGTATCAGTTTCAAAGTACAGCGACAATCATCATGTTATATGACGTAATGATCATTAACGTAGGCAAATGTCAGAGAGGAGAACATTCCCAAGCTATTAGGAACCCTGTTATCCAATGTTTTATTCATCATGCTTTCGAAATTTCACGGGCTGCGACGATCGTCATGTTTTGACGAAGTAATTAATAGTAAAATAATAATAACATATCTAAAATATTTTGTTACCATTCCCAATCTAATTGTTTGAAGGTACCTACGCAGCTTTGTGCTGAAATTGTTTTAAGTCGCTTATATTTTCAGCACATTTGAGCGAACTAAACCAATTCCAAACTGGGGAAAATAGTCGCATTCTCGGGATACTTTTAGTGAAATAAATATGGGAAGCGAAGCACAAAACAACCTCAAATTCCGTGTTGATTTTGGCACAGTTTGCGTGTAATTTAAAACATCAAAGACAGAGTACAATCGAAAACGCGTCAAACTCCAGAATCAACCGGAAACCTGGGTTACCCTCTGATCCGCTTTACGTGGCTTTATTCTCCTAGTGCAATGTTTCTCCCGTAAAGT